ATGTTTGTGAGCAATATCTATGTGTCTGAATGTATGTTTGTCTTATGTCTTTATGGAGTAAATGTTTGAATTTAGGGATGTACTTGTGTTTACTTTTGGCATTTGAAACCAGGGTTGTGTTTCTGAGTAATGTTGGTGTTTGAATACTGAGAAATATGTGCATATTCACATACACTGCCACATGAACACAGACACACACATACAAATCGTAATTTACATCTTTTTCTCCACTGTTCTGTTTCCATACCTTTTGAATGCCAGTGGGTATCTTTCCTGGAGTCCAAGTTAATCCGGGCAGGCAAGTAAAGTTTAGTCTGTGGCTGGTCCAAGCTCTGTCTCTCCACCCTCTGTCTCCTACTCTACCTCTCTACATGGGTTACTGAGATCTGACTGAACTCACTGTCTTCCAACCATGCACACAAAGCACTGATCTAACAGAGGAAATGGTCACACTGTTAAAAGACCCTTGATCAAAAGATATTTATTGGGTGGCCTTAAGTGTGAGTCCCCCCCCAGCTTGTGTGTCCTAGTGTGGCTGCACCACTGACAATTCCATCAGTTGTCCAAATACCAATAGAATATTTTATATATTGGTATATAAAACCTATACCATTATAAAAGGCAATTTGTGATCATGTACGCCATAATTTTACGATTTGTAATTTGTATAATGTTGAATAAAATGTAATTAAACAAATACCAATATAAGATTTAATGCAGTCAATTCTTGCTTCAGAACCATAAACGAGTCCATAACGGATATACAAACATAATATACCAGTACAGAGGCCAAACTTTCAAGTCATGGGATTATATCTAGACCTAAAAGGTACTTTCCACTATAAACCACCTATTGCAGTGCGACTAATATGAACGACAGAGCATCAACTCACCCACCTGTTCTCCTCCAAAATGATTTGTGAATCATCCAGCAATACATTGTCTTGCACAGTTGCCTGTACATTCCATTTTTGTATCCTTTACAGGCATGCCAATGGTTATTGTTTACAGTCATGCCAATAGTTGTGAATTGTTCACAAACAGCTCTTTTTTTCAAACAGCACTGATAAAAGGTAGGAGTACACTCATCAGGGCTGGATTTCGCAAATGGCTAGTGGCCGAGTGGAAATATTGAGCCCTGCTGAGGCATCTCTGGTTTGATTGTGCTGAGACAGGGTCCTGCTTGTTTTTTGTTTTTTTTCTCCACAACTGCAATAACTCACTAGATTAGCATTGTTCTGAATAATACTTTATTCTGCACTTGCATCTTACATACATTCCATTATATATGCAGTGAGCTGGTTGTTATAACTATAAACAATGAGATTAAATTACAGATGAAAGTAGTGGTTCTGGTGCCTATAGCATGCCCCTGGTGTCAGAGAAAAGGCAGTGTTTACATTGCTGCCTAGTAACACCGCTAGTGGCAGTCACAGACGTCCACTAGACATGCTTCTTATTTCAGTGCTGCACTGTGTGCAGTACTTGCGTTCAGCATCTCCACTCTCTGCATCGTGTTAGGCTTTTCAATTTTCAAATAAAGACCGGAACTCAACTGCAGGTTTAAATCTTTATTTTGTCATTTAATTAAATATTTCTTTAAACTTTAGCTGGAAACGTAATAGGTTTTGAATAATAAGTAACTATCTCTTTAAGATCTCTTCTTAAAATAAACTGTCACTTTAAGAATTTTAAAGAGGTTCAATTTCACTTTAAATATTTTCTGAGAAAGTGCAGAAAACTTGATTACTTTGACCAGGTGGAATTTCAGGTGAAACGGATCAAATGGAATTAAAACAGCATGTTCTGATATGCATGAAATGCCACCTTAAATTCTTTATCACATTGAAATTTGATTGGAAAGTATTCACAATATAAACAGACTCTTTAGTAAATTTAAAGGAGCAGATGAGATGAGTGACCTTAAAGGACCACTATAGTGCCAGGAAAACAAACTCGTTTTCCTGGCACTATAGTGCCCTGAGGGTGCCCCCACCCGCCGGGCTGAAGGGGGAGGAAGGGGGTTAAACACTCACCTTTCTCCAGCGCCGCTCTCCCTCTTCTGATGTCATCGACTGAATGCGCATGTGTTGCAAGAGCCGCGCGCGCATTCAGCCAGTCCATAGGAAAGCATTCTCAATGCTTTCCTATGGACACTGGCGTCTTGTCACTGTAAATATCACAGTGAGAAGTGCGGAAGCGCCTCTAGCAGCTGTCAAGAGGCTGGATTAACCCTACAGTTTATCTGAAACTGCTATGTTTACAGCAGGCAGGGTTAATCCTAGATGGACCTGGCACCCAGACCACTTCATTGAGCTGAAGTGGTCTGGGTGCCTAATCAATCTGTAGTATAACAGGATCACTTTCAATTAAATTAAAAGACCTTTGTTTCAGGAGAAAAGGATATCCACAGGAATATTGCCAAAAAATATCAAAAGAAAGTCAGTTAATTCCTCTAGGTCTAGGAGAACATTCACTAAAGTTTGCTTTTAGACAAGAATGTTTTTTTTGTTTTTTTTTAAATTTCATTTACCTTGTAGCAAAAGTAGCCTTTTAGCAGTAGAATAGTCTTGAGGTCTAAGGTCAGGAGTGAGGTCACAAGGTGAGGTTCGGTACATAAAAATTCAGGTAAGTGGGAGCTCAAACAGCAGTATAAAATCACTGAAACAATTTGAGTGAACAATTCAACTCTGCCTTGAGTCTGATTATTCAGGCTGATGTCAGATGCGGAGGCGGGGCAATCGATGAGACCCAAAAGTGGAGCAAGGGAATCGCCGATCGTGGTATGACACTTGGAGATGCTGAACATTCCCCATGAAGATGCATTAATTCAATGCATCTCTATGAGGAGAGGTAGATTGGTGCAGTGCAGCGTTTTGCCGCGCATGTACAATAGCCTCCCAATGCTTTCCTATGGGAGAAAATTGGATTGGCTGAGGTCATCAAGATTGATCATCCCTGCCATGGAGGTGGGCCAACCGCACCATGGCAGAAAAGGTGAGTGAAATCAACTTTTTACAAAGATTGGAGGTGGGCTGGCAGCCACTTCAGAAATATAGTGTGAGGAATACATACGTAGAGTTTCCTTAAGTCCTTTCTGCAATAACGCCATGAGTTCCTACATTAAGCTTAGTGTAAATTGTGTATGATTTACAGACTATACAAGTAATGTACAGCAGTATTAGACATAAACCTCATGCTGAAGATTTCCATAGAAGATAAAATAGAACTTCCAGCCCATTCTACGTTTCAGAAGCTGTTGTGAACTGTAAACATAGGTGGAATGGGCTACTGGATTAACTTGATACAAATCTGTAACTGCTCCACTATGGAGGAATATTGAAAGAAAGCAGATCTGCTCATTTGTGTTATTTGTGATGAAGTTGAGCAAAGTTCAACTACACAGTGCTCTGGTCAGTAAAAATAGATTTTTCTGCTGTGTAATGGCGCCATCTGTTGTTCAAACAAATGAGTGCATGGAAGTTCAAATATTTGTTTATCCATATTATTTCTAACTTCTGGCTACTTTGAGTTTTACATTATCACCCTAGGATGTGAAGGAACCTCCACAATTCTTTCATTTGAGCAGTGTTATTTGGATGTGCACCTTAAAGGGCCACTATAGGCACTCCGACCATTACATTTCATTGAAGAGGTCCGGGTTCAGTGTCCCTGTCTTCTTAACCCTGCAATCCAGAGAAACTGCAATGTGTATTTAGTGTTAGGTCCATTTCTATCTAAAAGACAGCCACCAGAGGCTCTTCATGGATTTTAACGGAGTTTAACTATGTAAAATTGCATTGGACATCCTCATGCTTTGCAAAACATAATTATTTTCTATAGAGAAGGTCTAATGCTTTCCCCCATTGCCGTGATGACAGAGGAGATGGAGCCAGCACCGAGGATAACAGGTTAGTATTTAAAAAAATAATAAATACTGGGGGGGAGGGCTGGACCTTAAGTTATTGGCAGGGGGACATTATAGCATTTGGAATACAATTTTGCATTCCTAATGCTGGTGTTTAAACATGTACTTTTTTGTAGCCTCTGTGCAGATGTGACCAGGATTCACTTATGTCCCTAAAAAAGGTAAATACGTAATTTACATTGTGTGCAGGGTGCACTAACTTGGCTTACCTTCAGTGTCCCAGTGCCTCCCAAAGACAGGTCCTCTGGGAGCTCCCCTTGGGACTTTGGATGGCCCCTCTGGACATGAATATATCCCCCCGAGTTACCACACCTATGTTAAGGCTATAGTTGGGTTCAGGTTCCTTGCTAGACTTTCAGCAACACCCTTTTCTGGGCTTATTCTAATGTATCACCCTTAATCCCTTCGAGGCTCAGAACTTTTGGGGTTTCTTGGCAGACATATTAGATAATAAATATTTCTGATACCAAAAATAGAAAGGCCTTTGGCTGAAAGGTTGGGGAGCATCTCTATTTTGGTATCAGAAATATATCTTCTCCCACTCCACTGTGTGTTCCTATTATTTATTATGTAATCCAAATGTATGCATTTGTATCTGTATTATTTTCTTATTTGATCTAACATTTCAAGGTGCTTGATAATTGTTTGAAAAATTTAACAGGTCTTATCTGTAAGTATTTGAAGTTTATGATTTGTTTTGTTTTCTAACCCAAAGGACTGTTATTTTGTGACTGGATTTTAAGTGTGCTCTTGTGTTATGTGATACTGTGTAGGTTTTACCCTGGGGGGAAAACCAGGTGTTAACAGTGAGCACCTTTAATTCTAGTTGATATACTAAATGCTGTGTGCTTCTCCTTAGGGTCTTGTGGGCTACTCTGATCTTCCTGCACAGCTCCCAAGCACATCCTTCAGTGATCCAGGGGTCCGAATTACATAGTATCTCAGCTTCTGCAGTTTCTGGGGCACTCATGACCTTTGTGGCAGTCGCAACCTTTGCAACCTCGGATGTTCTCGTGGTAGCATACCACTCACCTCATGGCGCGCGCTTGGTTACGTCATCTCGCCCCCGCCTGATGCACTATTTGTCTTTTTCACTGTTAATAGTCTATTTATTGATGAACTGAGTAAGCTTTAGCATTTAGCATGCTGTGGGATTTACTGTCTGTTTTTTTTATGAGCAGACTGCTTTTTACACTTCACATTACCCAACATAAGTAAATCCAGTAAGTTTATGCTACAACAATGCGCTTGTAAAGGGCATGTACATTCAATTTAATTATAAAACATTAGCTTACAAAAACAACACTATTCCAATGTCTCACATAAATATAATCATCAATATACCTGCTTTGCAATGTGTTGTAAATGTAGGGGTTTATAATTCTACAAACGTGGGACTGCTCTAAAGCAGTTTCAAATTTTTTGAGTGTGTGAAAATATTCATCACATTAAATTAATAAAATAGTAGTAGTTTATTTATAAAGCTATGAACAATTCCTTGATTGTCTTTATATTTTATCCTTGATTTAAGGGATATATAACGTCTAGTTTTACTCACACACTGTTCAATATCCTGAAAGTAGTTCAGTATCCTGAATATAACTTTACACAGTTGTAACCTGCAATCAAATCATTCTAAAAGATCTTACCCATTGACCCTAAACAAAGGGGTAGGTCTTAAAGGATAACTCACCTCAAAACCATTTTTCTATATAATGATCCTTTCAAGTTTTCAAAGGAAATCCTTCATTAAAAAAAAATTATATATAAAAAAATAAAAAAAATTTAAATAAAAAAAAAAGAATCTCCCCACCCCCCACCAAAAAAAAAAAAAAAAAATATATAAAAGAATGAGGAAAGCTCATCCCTACTTTAAGTATATGACAAGGACCTTTAGCCATATATATGCATCTGGGTCAGCCAGTGTTTGAAAACAGAGTCTCTTCAGGGAGGGAAACCCGGATGATCACAGTCTGTTTTCAAACACTGTCTGACCCAAGGTGCATGTACATGTCTGAAGGATTCTGTCACATACTAAGGGTAGTATTGAGGCTCCTCCTCCCCTTTTTTTTAAAAAAAAAACAGAAAAAATAAATAACAAATAGCAATTTTCTTTCAAAACTTGAAATGATTATTAAATATATTTATTAATTTAAAAAAATAAATTTTTTGAGGTGACAGTTGTTTTTTAATGAGACATTTACCCTACTGTAGCTGGATGAGACTGAAGTGGGCATTTCATGTGGCAGAACAGCTTTATGTTTAAAACTCTTCTCTGCAGTGATACCTAGGGATAGTCTGCAATATTAAATCTTTAATTTGTTCATTAAACAATCTACATCATACAAGACTAGAGTGCATAATAGTTGTATCAAGTTGGCGATACGCCTCTTCCAATAAATTTCTTTATCTAGTATCACAACATTTTGTCCTTTATTTTATTAGCTTTGATTAGAGATGCATTTATGTTGGGTTTGTAGTGCAATATGCTAAACCACAGTAAGGATATCTCCCATGTGAAACTATAATATATATTGTGACTTAGAAACCGCTTCTACTGTTTCTGGTAAATGTTGGCTCACAATTCAGGGGATATCTCCTTCCTGAATAAACAAAATGTGGTCTCCCTGTTAAAACAACAAAAACACAATTTAAGAATTCATCTTTTCTGATTTTTTTCCTCAACATTATCAATGCTCTGCTCTTTTTCTACATTAGCGTCATTGATGTCAAATTCACATTTCACTTTGATTTAATATTCTAGAAAATGACAAAGCAATGCTTTCAAGAGTATCAGAGATATTCTAGGTCTATCATAATAGAAAACTACTATGTACTGAAGTGAGTCAATACCAGCATTTAATAATTATCCTCAGATTTTTTTTTAACCTTTAAATTTATAACACATTTGTTAGAAATGATAGAAGATTTTCTGGGGAACGTTATATATGACATCATGTGTTCTAACTGTTAAGATGATTTTCTCAAATCTCTAAATATCACAATCAAATCTTTGCTTTCTTCTGCAAACGCATTCGCCAAGAACATTGGCAGATTTTGATTGGGCATATTTTCCTTTTTCCAAACAATGTCACACTTTATTTTATTCCTCTGCAATTCACTCCATGTAATAAAAATTATAATACACTCTATAATAAAATAATTATACAGTACATTTACCTCTATATCTGTGAAGCCAATATTGGTATTTACTCTTCAAATTAAATAGTTAATAGCATAATTTCTGACTTCAGCTCTCATTAAAATAATTATCCATAAAGATTCACACTTGCAATAAAGAGTAAGTGCAGCAGGTGTGTGACCTATGTACCAGAAAAAGTATTATTGCATTATTGTTTGTGCAAGCTCTTTATAGTTCAACATTCTAATGACCCTTTCATATATAAAAATGTATGTTCTATTAATATTATAATAATCCAATGCAGATTATCTTCTCATTTCCACTTAATATAATGTTAGCCAACATTTTGGCCTAAGATGAATGTTATTCCCCATAAACTAACATCAAGCTGTGCTTGGAATGGCCGATGCACAAAATTGTACTGGATTGTACTTTTTTATCTATATGTTCAGGTAAGCTTATTTTCCTTACCATACATTTTTCCTCTGCACCTTTTCTATCCAGTTTTCTCCTATCTCCACTTCCCAAGCTTTTTTTCCCTGCTCTAATTGTTTTTTCTATAATGTATTACCTTCATTTCCTTGATATATTTACAATTAATATTACACACTTTTATGTTACTTTGGAGCTCTCCGTCTTGTTTGGTGATTTTCTTTGTTTCACTTGATAAGAGTAAATTGCTACCTCTTACTAGTGCAACTTGCTTCCTTTTCTTTAGATTGCTATTCGTACTACAGATTTCCTGGAGTTGCGGAAGTCACTTCAGCTCTTCAGGCCTCGCGAAAAAAAGTTAATTAGTAGTTTATGCTTCACACCATCACTGAAACCTAATGGATCCCACGGAGGTTTCTGCTTTACATGTTGAACATATTGAAAGTCATATTGAACATATTAGCAGTTAAACATATAGATATGAACAGGAGACCAACATTTAAATGTGTTGCAGCTTCTTCACTTTAAAAAAAAAAAAAAAAAAAAAATTATTTTTCTTTGTAGAATATTCCAACTTTAGGGCAGATGTCAAGATTTTGCAGATACAGCAATATCACTACTATCAATAACACTCTTTAACAGAGTTTGCCAAGTAAAACATAATCCTAACGCAATTCATTGTATCTGCATCTACCTTATTGTGTTTGTCTTTTAAGATTACCAACACACAAAGGTGTTCTCCGAAGCGGCAGTTAAGTTTCACTATTATTTTGATTGCGTTTATTAAAGTGATCTAAAAAATGCACCGTTTTGTCATAGCAAATTCTGCCAGTTTCTGCAAATGATTCAATTTCTTGACTTAAAAAGGGTTGGAAATATTCATGACTGTTGTGTTGGTGCAAACATGGTGCATATTCAAAACACAGAGTGCAAAAAAAGCAACCAATAAAAAAATCTGACTAACTTAATACTCCGAATGGTATCTAAAAACTGGTACTATTATTGTTGTAGTAGAAATATGAAAGACTAAAGACACGGTTTAAATGTTATTTTATTAAATACCTCTTGTCCAAGGTTTCAATGTAACAAAGCTATGAAGATCTACCAACATTCAGAACAAACAAACACAGGGTAATTGTTTTATTTTTCTATTATCATGCAAAGATTCTGCATCAAATGCCTTTCCAAGTCTTGTTTAAAACGTGATATTTATAATATATATTATATATATGCTTACATTAGCCCCATAAGATAACAGTAACAATGCTAAAAGTGTACTGCTTTGTCAGATAATGACCATACCAAGCTAAGATTTTCATTAACTTAAAAAGTAATACAGTTTGTTTTTGTTTTTCCCAAAGACAGTGCAAAAAAAAAAAAAATTATAAATAAAATATGGAAAAAAAAAAGTTTGTTTAGAAAGATGCACTAAATACAGAGCGATCCTCATAGTATTAATCAAGTAAACAGACAGTGAAGGAGCAGACCTAAAGACATGCATAACTTTATTTTTTATTTATTAAACTGCATATATTTTCATTTTATGTTTGTTTTTTTCCCTTTATGTTTTATCTGTTAAAAAGCCAAGAGCTTTTAGTTTAGTTTTCCACATTAAGATTTAGTGAAAAAAAAATTAGGGGAAAAAAAACAACCCTCTCCCCTACAAAAACAAACAACAACAAAAACATGAAAAGATTTTTTTCCCCCATGTGCTCTTATTTCACACAAGCACTCCAAATGCTCTAATATTCTGAATTAATCCCAGCTTTACTCTTGTCGACATTATCCAATTTTACCTTCAAACTACCCACAAAGAAGTGTTTGTCTTTAAATTTCAAAATGCTCTCGGCACCGATCATCATCTCAGAAATTCTGGAGAACATGCTTTATCCATGTGGAAATCTCCATAAACATAGCTTCTTCAACATGTAGATGCATTCCTTAATTCCTTGCTGCCGCAACTGGGATTGACATAACATTACATGCACCCAGAAAAACAATGGACAAGAACCCCAAATTTGTGCATCATTTTCACGTTATACAACATCCCATTCCACCCTAATTAAATCAATTAAACAGTCTGTAAATTTCTTCATTAATGCGTCCAAAAAAGTGAAGTTGTCCTAATGAGCTTGTGTCGGCATGTGCACGTGACGCTGCAACTATAAGCAGCCTCGAAAGGCTATTTCTTGTTCCGAACAGATAGGTTTGTTTGTAATTTTGCTGCCGATACATGCAATTGAACACAGACTGAACACTCATTAATGCTGCTTCATATACAGATATCTGAGAAAATTAAAAGCTTCCCAATTATAGAACTGACTCAGATGCACAAAAAGCAGAGACAGCATCTTCCATACTAAATGTAATTTTGTAGAACAGATTATGAGAACAACTCCTGGTTTGGGAGTATAAGGGACGGCATAAGGTTATACAAAACATAGGATCATTTTGTTAACCTCAAAGACTTTTTTTTTTCCCTCAAAAATGTAGTTATAAACAGACACTGTTCACCTTCCTGCAAAAAAAAAAAAAAAAAAACGATGGGCCACCAGACCACACACTAATTTAGAAGGTGCAGGCAAGCATAGAAAGACATGCATACTTCTCTACGCATCCAATTGCAGTGTGTTCACTCATGACAGACCACTCATGACGTACAAGCAGACAGTTTATCAATCTGCTCAATAGTACATAAAAGCTTTATCACTGTGAAAATAGATCAACCTCCTTTAACACAGATATCATGGGGTGGATGGGGAGTCATCCAATC